GAGAGAGAGAGAGAGAGAGAGAGAGCAAAAGGGAGTACGTAAAAGAGTGTAGGTGTTCTTTCGAGGAGAAGTGCGTGCGCTCACGGGAACAACGTGCAAGAGAAGTGGAGGGAATCCTGTCTGTCCGTTTGTCTATCTGTCCGTCTATCCGCCGGGACACGCGAGGCCCGGAATGGCTGCGAGGACAGGGGACGGCGAGGGTGAGACCCCCGCGACAGTCTTCGACAACAATGCCGGCATCGTGACGACGGCGGGTTCCCTCGCGGAATCATCCACGTCGTCTTCGTCCTCCTCCGCTACCGTCGCCGCCACCGCCGCCACTGCCGTTGCCGCCGCGGTGCCATCGGTGATCCTGACAGAGAGTACCGCTACGAGCGCCGGTAGTCTGCCCTTGGGATCTCAACAACAAGGCAACCTGCATCAAGTACATCAACAACAACAGTCGCGACAGAGAGTCAACCTGATCGCCGATGTAGCCGTCAATGATGTCGCAGGTAACCTCAATGACTCTCGCTCTTCAAAGTCTTTGTTGTCGCTAATGTGCCGCTTGCCAACCCCTCTCCCCTCCCCCTCTCTCCCTTCTCCTTTCTCTTTCCTGGCTTCGCTTTCACATCTTCTTTCTCGCTCTCATGTTCTCGTTTCTCTCTCATTTTCTTTCCGTCTCTCCTGTCTCTCTTCTTCTCTTCTTTCTTCTCCTCCTCCTCCTCGTCCTCTTTCTCGTGTCTCGAATCCTCTGTCGTCTGTTGCATCGCGCGCGCGCGCATTGATGCCGCGTGGATTCTCGAACCACTTCCGAATTCGCGGGACTCTCTTTGTTTTCATCGACATTGGCTACGGAGAATGAAGGCTGAGTTAGTTTTCCTTTTCCTCGAGAACTAAAAGCAAAACAAGAAACGAGACGCTTGATATAATAAAAAAGAGTAAATTTAAAATTATATAAAGTGACAGGAGATATTGAAGAGGCCAATCACAGAACTCGTTGCGTAAATCAATTTATATTCTATCAATAACAGAGTTGTTACTCAAACCTAATCCCGTAAATTCAAACTCTTGACATGTTTCGGCTACTTGTTCGAGCCCTCTTTAGAAAAAGCGACAAATTTAATTATAACAAGTAAGACTTCATCTTCTCAAAGTAAACCGCTTTTTGGCAAACTGTTCTCAGAATAATTAGTCTCACATGACGGTTGGAAGACCGTGTGGAGAATCTGGTTGTGCTGACAAATTGGAATTTAAGAAAAGTAAATTTGTAATACAATTCGCCTATATATAACGTGCACTTGCTCGCGTGCGATTCGATTCCCGCCTAAGTGCGTTTGATCGCAATCACGTGGAGCACGCTCGCGGAGAGTCCGCGTAGAGACAACGGCTCCGCGTTCCTGATTTAGTGCCGACTTTTGCGTAGCGATGTTGTAGTGGCGCAACAGACGTTTCGGAGCGAGATTCCGTAGTCGAATCGCGCGCGAAGTTGTCTCTCCGTCCGTCCGTCATCGTCTCGAATTTAGAACAGACAGCCTTCAAGTAGCTTCTTTATGAATGCCGCTAGTTGCAGCATCCACCCCCCGACCCTTCGCGAGCAAAATAGCGGTTCGTCGAAACGAGATTCGGCCGCCTTTATTTACGTCGACGCTGCCCCCCCCCCCCCCCCCCCTCCCCCCCCCATTTCTCCTTTTTCTTCTCTACCCCCTCCCCCTCCCCGTCACTACTCCTTTTCCGTTTCTCTTTCTTTCCTTTTCTTCCACGACACGAGAAATTGCGAGATGAATTTTTCTCGAGCGATACTGTGACTTACAGCGAATTCGGTAACTAGCATTACATCAGGGTTGGTAAAAAGCATGTTTCAAACATGTTTTAAGTTGTTTAAAACATGCTTAATCGATGTTTTTAACATGTTTTTTGTAATATTGTTTAAAGCGTGTATGTGTGAGAAGCATTAAAAACATGTTTGAAAAAAAAAAAAAAAACTGTTTTGTTCTTTAAAAAAAAAAAAACATTATCTCTTGTTAATCTTACATTACACTAGATTAGTGCATACTAAAAGTTGCTATTCATGAAATTGGCAAAGTTAAACGCAAAAACGTATGAATATTTTTAACGATTAAATGCTCAAAAATGACTTTGTTATCATTTAATAGAGCACACATGTATTATTATTTCATTGTCAAAGTTGATTATATCGCTCATTTATGCCCGTATTTATAGTTAGGCCTTATATTTAAATTTATCTTTAGATGCTCTATGAATTATTTTATTGGCTACTGAGCATCTAAAGATAAATTTAAGGAAGCCTTAAGTACAAGGTCTGATTATGAATACGGGCATTAGATATTTCATATAAAGCAGCCTTTAATGTACTGATCCAGTGTAGTGCGAGTGACCGAATTTTTGTCATAAGTTTCCGTATAAGGTGATCCTCTGTTCTCTTTCTGTCTTCTTTTCGTTCTACTTCCCCTTTTTCTTTCTCATTGCTCTCCTCATCTGTGCATCGCTTCTTTCTTCACTTTCTGCATTTATTCGAGACGAGTCGGTGATGCTTCGCGAAGCTCGTTTGCAAAAGTATCCGCACGCTTCTGCCCGGATACGACGACTCCACTAAATCATTTAAGCGGAGTAGATTGGGGCAAGTGGCAAGCCGGGTTTCGATTAATTCAAAATACAGGTGCTAAATAAAGCGACGAGCGTGGAGAGAAATGAAGATGGTTATTGCGATCTCTCTTCTTACAAATAAATAATTATTAAAAGGACATAATAAATATCCAAAATTTGATGTTTTTGTCGAATCCATAAAAATTATCAATAAATTTATTAAACCAAGTTTTTGTTTTAATATTTGCCCCTCTTCCACTTGTCCCAGTTCATCCGTCCATTCGTCTAGTCACTCCGAACCTCTGCTCTACCTCAGCGAAATCTAATTGATAAGTTGCGTGTTCTTAGCTACTCTTACTTTACTATTGCACTGTATGCTTTTTAAAAGAGCTTATTACACGTATTTTTAATTCGATGAAAGGAAAATATTTTATATGATGAAAGCAAGATATTTTTTTCGTGTTAATCTCTTCTGTCACTAATACTTTTACTATGTGTAATCGTGCAACACGAGGTACACCTTGTATAAACAAATGCGTAAATGAGAAATATCGGATTCGTATCTAATCGGAGGTAATAGCGACGTACGCCATTGTAACATAAGTACTGCTGCATTTAAGAATGTTTTATCTGTACAATACTAGTTAAAAGAATTATCCAAAGAAGTCAACATAAGTCAAATCAACAAAAAAATTGGTTTGTGAATACGTCTTGAAACCAACTGCGAAACAAACAAAATAATTTGGCTTATAATGGCATATTCAGCGCAATGAGCATATTTTGCTGCAATTTTAGATAAATAACTTTTAAACGAGTAACTAGATAAACTTATTAGTATTATAGGGTATGGTATGGTTTATTCTACTGCTTCCCCTTAGAGTTACAAATGCAGCCACAAACGGCATTCCACATTTTTGCATTACAAAAAGATAAAAAAATATAAAAATATACAAAAATAGAATTACACTCCTAATCTATTCTAATCCTATCTATGCACATATCGTCGCTTCTATCCATAATGCATTTTCTATTCTATAGGATAAGATAGTAACTCATTTCCTATCATATTCTATTCTAGATAAACTTATTAGTATATATGTACAAAAAATTTAATTTAATTTATAATGCTTCCTCATCAAATTTGCAATTAAGTTTTACACAACGCAATTTTACGTATAAGAATTAAGGCAAACAAAAAATAAAAAATTAAATAACTTTTAAACCAAGAAAAAAAAATTGTGTTTAAATTTTGCACAGACATTTAGATGTAATGATAGAACAATCTATGAAATTTGTATATTTTTGGTAATGCTGAGAAGTATCTGTTATATGCATCTTTAAATGCTGATGAAAATCAACTAACTCCACGAAGACGTGCCGGATGAGAACCCGTAGTTGAATCTGCTCGCATAAAATTTGCATGTGATTTCGACATACGAATTAAAGTGGATAATTAATGTCACGGAGGCGTCGGACGTGCAGCTTGCTCCACTTTTCGCGCAGTTTGCTTCCGTTTTTTGCGACTACTGGCGAATGCTAATGGTTGTTTTCGAATCGTGAAAATAATCCAATTTATTAACGGTATTCATTGTTGTGGATAAATTCGTGTAATGTCGATGTAATTTTAATGTTAAATTCAGCCAAAGATTAAACATAAAATTCTCACTCATTCATTTTCAAAATACATATGTATATTAAACATATTACATACTTCTGTCATTTTTCAAAAAATTATTTTCTTAGGCGAAGAATATAAAATAACGTTTTTTTTTATTAGTGGATAATAAACAATGTTAACAAATATCCGCGAGAATAGCTATTAAATTTAGTATCACGTAGTGATCTGAAGAACTTAATGAATTAATGATTAGAATGTTTCTAATTATTTTACAGCCAGCGCAAAATTTGTCAAAATGCCTTTATACATTTGTCGTAATTCATGAAGTAGACATTTTGGTACTCATGTTACTTATTATTATCTGCAACGCATAACAAAGATCATGAACGCTTAACTTTCTGTTACGACTGCATTACCGAAGTAATTTATAACCGGAGCGTCAATTGTATGTTTCTCACGTGGCTGATAATGACGTGACAGCTGCCGCTATGATCGCCGAACCATACCCGGAATTGTTGGCACGCGAGATCGCCGCTCGTTTCCGGTAACGATGATAAACATACGATGGCAAACGACAAATATCGAGTTGCGAAGCTTGCGCGTGTGTCTGCATTTTAAGATAGTTTCACAAAGTTCTTAAGTCCGTAAATATGTCTTTATCCGCTTAATCAAAATCTATGAAGAAGATTACGCATACACTGAGAAGAAAAAGTTATTAACTTGACTAAATACGTTGAGTTCGTAATAATTATTTAGTTCAAATATTTATATATTTAGATTAACAAAATCTTGTAATTTAAAACATAATTTGAATTAACAAATATCTGATTGAATTAACAAATATTTGCTTGATAGCCCGTGACCGCTACATTTAGTTAAATCAACTAATATTTTTTTGAAACAGCAACTTCTTTTTCTCAGTGTATAAACCACACATATAATCACATAGATATATACATTTTTCTAATAATATAAATTACATATATTCCCTATTTTTATGCATTCGTAAAAAGTCTTGTACTTGCATTCTCGTATTCTTAACTTGACGCTTAATTGTATGCTATATCCGATGTATCACCTTATAATGCTTATAGTTAAGCAGCTGTGCAGAGTAAAAGGAATGGGGAACAGGGAACAAAGAATAAAAATTTCAATCCATCAGAAACTCTGTATTCCACAGTACATGGTTTCTGTTAGACTGAAATTTTTATTCTCTGTTCTCTGTTCCCTATTCCTTTTATTCTACGTGTAGCTCCTAAAAATATCTAAACTTGATAATTGTCTATACGAAAAGAAAAAACGATCTTATTTTATAAATATTATACCTGAATGTATTCTTGCGATTTTCTTATCGAACTGCATATCCTTTTTCGGGTGGAGTGTGAAACACAATCGACCGTCACTTAACTAACAGCACGAGTGTCGCG